TTTAGGGTTTAGGGGTGTAGGGGTGGAGAGTTTAGGGGTTTAGGGTTTTAGGGGTTTAGGAGTTTAGGGGTCTTAGAAATCGACAAAAGGGTTTACCAGACCACCCTAAACCCTAAACCCTAAACCCTAAACCCTAAACCCTAAACCCTAAACCCTAAACCCTAAACCCTTACTTAAGGCATGTGCCTTAAACTTGTGGTCGAACATGATGTCAGGTATAGCCCCCTTAGGTTCCCCCGGTAGTACCCTTTTGCCCTTTTTCTTTTTGGGTTCCCTTTGTGAAACCAAATAGTAGGAAAAAGGGTGCCATGATTCTCTAGGGGCTACTGGGGAACCTAGCCCTTAATTGAGGGGTTTTTGAGTCTCTCGGGTTTCAAGCTTTAGGGATTTAGGGTGCGGGCTCTAAACCCTAAAACCTTAAGCCCCTAAACCCTAAACGCTGCAGGGTGTAGGCATTTAGGGTTTAAGGCTTACGGATTAGCGCTTAGTCTTTAGCCTCGATCCGGAGTCTCATTCGGATGTTATCGGGGCATTATAGGGTTTCGTAAGGGTTCCAGAATCACTTGCAAGTGGTTGCTGAAGTGATAAGCATGTGAAGTATCTGTATTCAGCTTTTGAGTGCCTGTACAGTAGGTCCCAAACCCAAAGCACCAACCCCAAACCTAGATCAGCGCTGGGGTCTCTGGAAGCCTTAGCCGAGCACAGCTAGGGGTGTAGGGTTTGGGGGTTAGGCCTCAGGGTTTTGGGTTTTGGATTTAGAAGATTATATCTAATGTAACTATACGTATAACGAATTATAACCCCAGTTAGGGTTAAAACGACCCTAAACCCGAAGCCCTGAACCCTAACCTGTAATGGCTTACATCGGGCTTGGGAAATCAAGGGACTCAGTAAGTATATACTTAGCTTGTAGAGTGATAAGTGCCACAACGGCGCTTATAACTCTACTATACCCTACTTACGGTTGATGATACAGATCCTGAATTACCCATCATAAGGAATATACCATAACTCCCATAAGGCAATGCAGGATTTATATCATCAACAGTGTTACCTACTTATCCAGTCCTCGGGCCCTCAGAGTAGGGGTCACAAAAGAGGGGAGTGGGGTCCGCTCGTTCTGCGGGCTTCAGAATCGTGATACGATGGATGGATATACACCTTCATTACCTGAAGGACCCTAAGCTATCGGAATTCTGGTCTATTCTATTCCTTATTATATGTACTGCAGGATGTATAACACCAACCGTATCACTTGCAGGTTCAGGGGGCGCTTGGCTTGAGGCTTTGCAATGCTTTAGGGCCACAGCTTCAAGACCCTAAGTCTCACTTAGGGTTTAGGGTTTAGGGTTTGGGGTTTGGGGTTAGGGGTTTCGGGCGGACTGCGATTCTAACTCCGGAACATATAGACCTCTACCGACTATAGAAGTTGCTTCGGGTTTGGTGTTTAGGGTTTAGGGAAGCTCAACCCATTCAAAACCCCCTATAAAGACTCTTGATCCCATAGCCTGAAGTCCCTAAAGAGGAAGCCCTTGAACCCTATAACCCGTTTCGGGAATCCAGGTTATCAAGACTGGAAAGTGTAAACCCTACACCCTAGACCCTAGACTGAGGTCCTTCTCAAGGCAAACCACCCTCGAGCCCCTGATCGCAAATCGAAGTGCTTCGAGCTCGAGCAACCTTCCATGCAGCTTGGCATACAGTGGGCTCGATGTACCTGCGTGGTATTATAGGTTTCTAAAATAGGGTTCCTTGTAAGGTTCCTTGAAGTGTTTAGGGTTTGGGGTCTACTCAAGCGATCATGGGACTTCGTAACTAAGGATATAAATAAGGTAACTACACTGATAAGTACTTGTGACCCCAGTTAAGGTACTTATACTTACAACCTTACCTACTAAGTCCCACGATCCTCGAAGTACCCAGATGCTCCAACACCCCCGGTTAAACAATTGCTGGCAGCACCGTCTGCATGAGCTAGTCTTAACCCTAAACCCTAAACCCAAAACCCCCAAACCCTAAACCCTAAACCACCGTCTGCATGAGCTAGTCTTTCGTCGTACTATTGCCAGGATTTTGAACACGACACCCAAAAGCTCCTTCTCGTGACTGCGAACATGATTAAGGGTTTAGGGCTTAGGGCCTTTCTAAGACGGAGATACTTCTAACGATGTACCAAGTTCATGAAGATAGACCCAGGCCCCAAAGTACCTATATAGGGGCTACTTTAGGGTTTAGGGTTTAGTGCTTAGGGTTTATGGACCCTTAGGGTAGAGCGAGCGCCTCTCAAAAGCGGCTTCAGGGTTGTTGGTTGAAGGGAGGATTTCCCCAAAGGTCCGAAGTGCCGAATTCTCACATGGGTGGTTGTCAAAATTATGGTCCCTTTTTGGGTCCTTATTACAATACGGCACCTATTATTTAGGGTACCCCAAAAGGAACCATAATTTTGACAACTACCCACATGAGTAATTCTGGAAGTTAGGGTCCCTTTGTAGGTCCCCACTATAGTACAGCACCCTTACAGCTAGGACCCCCCAACAGCGACCCTAATTGAGGGAACTGCTCACATACTCCTCCAATTACCAGCAAACAGCACTTGCATCCAGTCGCAAAGTTCCCCACTTATTCGGTCTTTCAACCCCTAGGTTTGTAAAGTCCTAAACCCGAAATCCTAAAAGCCCATGAACATACGCTTCACAACAAAATCCCACGAAATCCTAACCCCGAAACTCACAAATCCGGACCCTGCAAGGTCAAGGGGCGATTGCCATCCCGGTTCCGGTGATTGCAGTACCATACTTCGTTCCGGTCCTTGCACACTGGGCCGCAGACAAGGCTTATAGAGCTTCGGCTTTAGGGCGTAGGGTTTAGGGCTTAGGGCGTTGGGTTCAGGGGTTTTGGGGGTTTAGGGTTCAGGGCTTCGGGTTTCCCACTAGAGCAGGTAACCTTTAGCATGTCTGGGTTTTTCATTCCCTGTATAATCCCACGGATGAAACTTGAGTTCCCCGGGGATACTGGACAACTCGATGTTCAAAGCCCTAAACCCTAAACCCCTAAACCTAAACCCCTAGACCCTTAACCCTAAACCGTTAAGCGAGGAGTTTGCCTCAAAACCATTTTGAGGCCTTTAAGGTGACAGGCGGCGAGCCTTCCCAACCAGAGCCGCAAAAGTAATATATTGGAACATAATTAGCCATACTATTTCGGGGTCCTCATGATAGTTATTATAGTATAGTGGGCCCGAAAACCCAATTCTATTTATTAAGGTCCCTACATATAATATAGCAGCCCCTAAACCCTAAACCTGAAATTTCTAAACCCTAAACAATCATAAAGCCTAGCCCCCAAACCCAAAACTCTAAACGCTCCTCATTATTTCGAGACACTCCTTACACCTTCTCAACTTATCTTAACAGAACAGCCGAACGAAGATACCCACAATTCGGCTCCTCAAGAGCTCATCCACATAATTTACGTGTGGGTTTAGGGTCTGGGGTTTAGGGCTTAGGGTTTAGGGGTCAGGAGGACATGGTACTTGGAGGGTCGGGTGACTGAGTAAATATTTTTGAATAGACGCACAAGTATCATAACCCCAACTAGGATCCCGTTAAGGGTACTTATAAGTCTACTCATCACCTGCTTGCTGAGTCATCCGAGTCTACGTAAGCAGGTAATAAGTCGAGTCAGAAGTACCCTAAGCGGGATCCCAAATGGGTAGTTGTCAAAATTATGGTCCCTTTTGGGGTACCCTAAATAATAGGTGCCGTATTATAAGAAGGACCCAAAAAGGGACCATGATTTTGACAACCACCCAAACAGATTGTGGTATTTACAGCTCGAAGGAGCCCTAAGGGTTCCTATCATATTTTTTCCATTTGACATACCCCAAAACCTTATTCTAACCCTTACCCTCAAAGGACTCATATGGGAGTTTCCGAAAATAAAGGGTGCCTTATTTTGGGGTCTTTATAATAAGGATCCTACTATTTAGGATACTATATTAGGGTCCCTTATTTTCGGAAACCTCCATATATTAAGGCTGTCGGGCCCAAAGACCCTATTATATAAGGCTTTTGGGCTATTTTGATGCTAAGGTTTTGGGGGTACTATAAGGCTTGCGTGCCATGTTTTTCACTGGTCATTTGGGCTGCGGTTTAAGGAATGTTTTACGCGGTGTTCGTGGTACCTTTGAATACAAGCAATGTTTGGGGCCTTAAAGACTAATGATCCAGGGGTCCAAGTTTTCGCAACTTCCAGCGCCGAAAGAGACCGAGACATCCGGAAGAACAGCAGCGTCTTGATAAAAGTTCTCGACGCATGTCCGTGACTGGCCCCCTCCCCCCACCCCCCCCCAACCCCGAAAGCAAGAGAACCAGCCTGAAACAAGCATAACCCGCGAAAAGCAAGGATAACGCCAAAGAAATAAGGCATCCCGCCCTTTTATAAGGATTCCGATGAGGGTTCTTGTAAGAGTATTGGGGTTTCAGGTTTGAGTGTTTCGTGCTTAAGGTTAAGGGCTTAGGGTTTAGGATTAGAACGACGGGCAGGATTCGAGTTGCAGCTTTAATCTGAAACAGCATACTACAAGGGCCTTAATAATTGATTAGAAGAGGGTTTCGGGGTAGATTGCGCTATAGACTATTAGTACTTATTTAGGCCCCTTTTTAGACTCATAGCTTCTACAGATGACTATGCATGAACCTTCACAGAACCTCCACTTACACCATGAACCCGAAAGCCTTAACAAAACCCTAAACCCTAGACCCCCATCAGCACAACATCAAGCTGTAAACTTGGGGCTGCATGAAAGGGACGGAGAAGCTAAACGGCTAGCACAATCTCTACGTTTATAAAGTATTGAACCCCTAGAAGAAAACTCACAGTTCTTGAATAGTTTTGTGAAAATCAGCAGGATTTCGCCCCCCATAAACTCTTATCGACACCTCAACACATTGTAAAGACACAAATAACGGCTATGCATGTAGTAGTAGGCCCGTGTCACTCGCTACGGACCTCTGCAGATCCCGGTAAGGCCCTGAGATGTTCAACTCTCGTATGTGCGTGCTGGCTGCTAGACTTTATTATAGTATACTATATTGAATTACAATATATTATCCCTGACCCCAAAACCATCCAAAACCTGAACCCCACAAAACTACCCCTCCAAGTGTACAACACACCCCACACATTCACGAATTTCTCGCGAGGCCGAAGGGCTGTTGCGCCAAAGCGAGGAGCCAAAGCCAAGTCCATGGATGGCCTGGAAGAAAAGGCCATGACATCTAGAACAGGGGTTCCAGCAGGATGTACCCTCCTGGAAGCACTAGGCCTATTGCTTGGGGGGTTCAGGGATTAGGGTTTCGGGTTGAGGGTTTCGAGTCTAGGGCTCAGGTTACGGCTTGGGATAATTATGTTGCATCGGAGTTGTTGGCTTGAGAGTGTAAGGTTCAGGGCAGTGGGTGTAGCGTTTAGTTTAGGAGTTTAGAGCTAAGATTTAGGGTCTTGAGTTTTTGGGTTTAGGGTTTAGGGAGTTTTAGCGTTGAGGATGTCGAGATTGCCATGCTTGGACAAGGGGTACATATGCACTGTATGTCATAAAGACTAGGGTTTGACATTGTGAATATTCGCATGCATATGCACAACAACTAACAGTCAGTAGCTGAGCGTACATATATATATATATGTATGTGTACACATGCTTTTTTTGGTTTTGTGTTTGTCTGTGCATGCACGTATGTGTGCCGGTATGTGTACAGAATACGTTGATACCATGTGTGCATATATATATATATATGTATATATATATATATATGCATATGCACATCTTCACAGCATGTAAGGGAAGCCTCCGGGACCTCATGCCAATTCGGCTTGTGTATTGGACATCGGATGAAGACTGGTTGCTCGTCGCGGGGGTTAGGACTTCGGATATTGCAGCTCCGACTGCCTGCTGTGTCGCTATTTGCAGACCTTCCTCCAATGGCTCGGGTTTCCTGTAGGAAACTGCCTGGCATGATGAGAAGGATCCTTGTAGAACTGACACACCTTTGGACAGGATCTTATAATGATGCTGCTGTATAGCAATGTGCCACAAGCGGGGATGATGACGAAGTCCTACGTCTGTTTTAGATCACTGTTTTGTTATTGTCGTTGCGGCTTCCATTGCGGACTTTCGTGTTTCAATTTAATTGAAGCTGCCCGCCCAATGTTATGAATGTTGAGCTACTCGAAAAAGAATCAGTCCCACAGCCTACACCGCTAGAGCACAATCCACAAGGCAGCGGAACGGCTTCAATACCTGTAGTCTCCCATGTAGTTCCTATCTTTGACTACCATCCTAAACCCTAAACCCTAAACCCTAAACCCTAAACCCTAAACAAACTGGATAACCGTCGAGAGGGAAGGACATTGGAGACTCGGATTTCCGGCTGCCTCATGGAGGACGAGGCCACGCCAGTGCCGAACAAGCTCCTGGTGTGTATACATATATATATATATATAGCATAGTGCAGTGCAGTAGAAAGAGCATAGTACATTTTAGTTTAGTTTTTTGTAGCATGGCGAAAAGTATAGTATGCAGTATCCTCGTGAGGCGCGTGCATCACATGCCTTCTTGCGTTCAAGCCTCAGACACCAAACCTGCACCCGAAACTTCTGGATGCTTCACAAAAGCTTAAGTGACTCATTCCTACACTTCCATAAGCTAAGCCCTCACCAGGCAGAACAGTTTCAGAAATCCCTGAGCTGCAGGCAGGGTACACCTTGCTGGTAATAGGAACAAGGCGGCCTAGTATAGTCTCTGCATGTAGCTCTGGGTTTAGGGTTTAGGGTGTAGGGTTCCTACACAAATATATAGTACCCTACCCCAACGCATCATGCCCAAACCCTAAACCCCAACCCGAACCCTTGGAGCTCATGGCTTTGATTACTCTGTTGCTGCTGTACATTGGCTGTAACCTGCCATGTCTGGCTGTTCCGATCCCGAGACCTATGGGCAATTATGAAAAGGGCCACCGGGATAGATAGGTTTTAGAGCGTAGGCTGTAGAACCCGAAGATGCGCATAGCTACCGTACGCATAACACCACACATGACTCATATGACTATCCATGCTCTAGCATCGCCGGTTCCCTGTCTACACGACGGACTGCTCGATAATCTGCACCTTGTGCAAGCCATGCAGCTATGCAATCAATAGGAAGAAACTCCACGGCACATGCCGCCGCAAGCCGTCACACACTCAGCAGAGACGTGGATGCCATGAACGAGCACCGAAGTAACCTTCTTCAAGAGGTGCCAACATAGCACGGCAGCCTGAAGCAACAATCGAAGCCTCACTTCCTCTCTGAACAATCCCTATATGTGTTATCTTGATGAGGTATACCTTCCTTGGTCTGGCCATTTCGACCCTTGCAGTGCACCATCGCAGCCTGTCCTGGGTGCTGAACTCGCTGAATTGGGTCTCACTCACTCGTCGGTGCCTGTAGAAGGGCTTCAGTTTAGGGATTATGGCTCTTTGGGTTGAATACTTGAAGGATTCTACTACATGGTGAACCCCCCCCCCAAAAAAAAAGAATGAAAAAAACCACGGCTTGATGTCAGTACGTTTCAGCCAGGTCATTGTCAATAATTGAACTTTCCAACTTATGTTGCGAAAGTTCCGAAAATTGGCAGCATCAAGGAGCCAAACAAACGTTTCCCATGGAGTAAAAACCTTAAGCGTGTCAAAGTGTCCGGCCGAACTAGCAGTGTGCGGAACGGCACTAAATTCTGCCAGCCTGGTTAGTCTTTCGGGCAGTGGCTCTAAACCCGGCT